TATTCTAATTTTTTGAGATACCAAATTTGGAGTTTTCATTAGTTGTCACTTATGAATATCAAATTTAAATGTAATGAACATTGGAAATACATTGGTCTGTGTGCATTGCATGAATATAATGTACAAGTTTCACGTTTTGAATGGAATTACTGAAATATTTTCAACCTTTTGATGATATTCTAATTTACTGGCCAGCACCTGTAATCACATTCATTTTCCTCCTGATGGTGGAAAAATAAACACAAATCCTTTTAATTGCCAAGACTTCACCTAGTTTTACAAATTTTCACCTTTTGACCCACACATGTATTAGAGTGATCTTTTTAGACCTTAAATTATATAAATAATCTTAAAATGTCCACTTTCAAATCAGAAATTTTTGTCACAAATTCTATAACAATCCATTGTTATTTAAATTTGAAACAGAAGCGTCACATCTTTTAACACACTACTGACTTTAGTTTCACCTTCAGACTTTAACTCCTGACTCTAAACGTCGACTTTATTTTAAAATTCACAGATAGCCCATGTAGTATTAAACTACATAATTTAATATGAAAAGGCACAAAAACGTAAAACTATGATTTATTCAGTCTTATTTGTTATTTCAAGTACCCTCGCAGGCTATAAATGCAAAAAATGTTTTTCATCACAGCTTTTTGTTTATGAAGACAGCATGAAGGTTATAAAAAGCCATGAGATGCTCGCGCTTCGGGAGTTCCACTCCACGTGAACGTTTTTTTCCGTGTAGGAGTGAAAATTTTTATTCTCTCACCGAAGGTTTATCACACTTTAGTCGGCCTCTCGTCCATCTCCGCACCCACGTTTCTGTGTCGTTTCATGTTGTCTTTAAACGGGCAGAAAAGATCCAATCCATCGCGTTTGCTAAACTTTTCTGCGCTGAGGATGAAGCCGAGGCGCACCTGAACTCGAGTGGGACACCAAACACTCTACTACACCCACTCACACTCACGCGCTTGCCTTGTTCCGCCCACTTCCTCGTTTGTCTCTCACAACCAACTTTCCCCTCTTTTAAAAACATAATCTAACTGAAAGAGTTTGCTAGATAATGTCTAAGTGTTAAGGATAGGAAAATATAAGAAGAACTCTAAGCTAGATGTAATAATCTCGTGGTTTAATGATAAGATCAGTATAATAATAATTTACTTTGTGGGTTTTCTTGTTTTGCGGGCTGTAAACTGTTTCACTATTATGCTAGACATGTGTTAATAGATCAATAAACATAGCTTAATGACACAAAACAATAAAATCTCAAAGGAAATTTACATTGGTATGTTATTTTGATTTAAGGTATAACATAAGGAATCCATTACTGGACTAATATCTTGATCTTTTGAGAACTTAAAATAACCCAGTCTCACAAAATTGACCTTTTTGTTCATCTTAGAGCAGGGGTGTCAAACATATGGCCCGCGGGCCGGATCCGGCCCGCAAACGGGTTAAATCCAGTCCACGAGATGGTTGCGTAAACTTTATTTTCATACTTTACAATGTAGAGTGAAAATAAACGTATCTTTGTGAGCAAGTTTTCTCTGTAATGAGTATAAATAAACAAAGCTGCGCTCAAGGCTCACACAAGAACTTGAATCACATCCTGAAGTTGGCTGCCACTCAGGATGTGACTTCTGATGTTGATGTGCCGGTGAAAGCTAAAATATGTAAAGTAAAATGAGTCAAATATACTTTAAGTGCTGCATGAAACTGATCTACCCACATGATCTGTAAGCTCTTTGAATCACTAAGGAATGTTTTTTTTTTTTTTTTTTTTTTTTCAAATTTTCAAGTACACTTCAGGTGTTGTACTTGTACTATTTTGGATACACTGTCCTCAGGCTCCAGCCTTGTTTTATATTGATTGTATTAAAACAAAGAAAACAATCTGAAGTTGTTTTTAATTTACCGGTCCGGCCCACTTGGGACTAGATTTCCCTCGATGTGGCCCCTGAGCTATAATGAGTTTGACACCCTTGCCTTAGAGCATTGTCGTCCATGCTTTTCAAACATGGTAAATGGTAAATACATGTATTGCGTTGTATAGGATTCTACAACCCTCCCCCACAACACAGTTATTCAACCACGCACACACACTTTGATTAGCTACAGCGTAGCCACAGCTGCCATGCCACGCTGACACAAGCAAGGTGCAAATCGGTCCTTCCAAACACTACCAGCAGGCACGGCGGCTTAAGTCTCTTGCCCAGCAACACAAACTACGACAGACTGAGCGAGACTCTTCCCACTACCCTCCAGTTACGAGACGGGCTCCTCTGCCACTGTCATCTCGTGACATTTTTGTTGACTGAGTTGTTGCCATTCTTGTGTTCCTGAACAATGGTTGGCTGTGGCGGCCATCTTGAAATGCATTGACTCAAACGGTTAATTAGCTGTACAACTTGTGTTTACCTCATAAGAGTTTTTATTTATTTATGTAGTGGTTTATGGGATAATTCTTCAAAGTATTTATGAGGCTGAGTTTTATAGTTACCAATTGGCAAAGTTTGAAACAAAGATCTATTGGAACTCAGCATGTGCATTGGAAAACACTCAGCACTGTCAAAAGTTTAAGTTAAGACCTCTCTTGGTCTGTTAGCAGTCTTATGTGTTGTGAATAACTCTCAGCTACTAGCACAACATATTGAGCTCAGCACTTTTATTGCATAACTGACCAATAAAAAAATCACAGATGTGACAGTTCTAGTCCTCTAGTATGAGGCGTCTGACCATTAGATGGGTAATCTCACAAAACCTCTCAAGATCAAATGTGACATCGGAGAAAACAAACATGGCGGAAAAAGAGGAGGAATCCCCTCTCTTTATGCAGTCTGCTTCAACCACCTTGCTTTCTAATTGGTTACACATTCAACAGGAAGCACGATTGTTTGTCCTTATGACACACCACACAAGCTGCCATACTGGGGCAAGACAGTCCAACAAGTTGAATATCACTGAAATATATCCAGAGCGTTATCAGAATCCTTCCAATACCAGGACAATTTTAACCCACCACACATGGAAGGAATATCTGATAAGATCATCTTTGGGCAATCACAAGCATCCTTAGAATTCCAATGGTTTTCTGTTCGTATCTAACACATAGAGTAGCAAAGTTTTTTACCTTATTTTGCTAACAGTTTATTTTAGCCGACACTGCTAGCAAAATAAGGTAAAAACTTTGCCAACATATGTGTTAGATAAGAACAGAAAACCAATGGAACTAGATAAGAAACACAGAAAAAAATAACAAGGAGTCCTCAGAATTATTGCTGGTGGTGGTCGGAGGGACCGGTGGCGCCAGTGCTCGGCAGCCTCGCCTCTGTCAGTGCACCCCAGGGCAGCTGTGGCTACATCGTAGCTCATCCCCACCAGTATGTAAATGTGTGTGTGAATGGGTGAATGACTGATTGTGTTGTAAAGCGCCTTGAGGGGTTCCAGGACTCTAGAAGGCGCTGTAACAAATACAGGCCGTTTACCATTTATTGGAAGGGGAGAATCAGGTGAAAAATCAGCATAATTATCCTGCTGTGTGAACTAGTTTTATGGTGGATCAGCTTTAGTGGCCATCCTAAAAGGTGTTGACTCGAGAATCTATTGTAAATGTACATCCAATAATTTTTGTACTGCGAGGTTCATACAACCCAGCATGTGAGATACGGACAGGCCCACTATCACTCTGTCTGATTTTAATGGTGGGTGATGATTAAAAAAAGGAAATTGTCTTGTCAATTGTCAGAGAATGATGCCCCTTTAAATGCTATCTATGCAATAAACAATGAGTTGAGGCCACTGAAAAAACTGTAGGTCTATTTTAAGATTTTTCTCAACACTTTCCATTTATGGGAGGCGCATGGGTGGTGGAAGAAAAAAGCCAAAAAATAAATCATAATCAGCCAATGCATAAATCTTTTAAACTGCAAACTGATCTTTGCGTGGGTGTTTGGGTTACAGAGGATGTGGTTTGAGACAAGCGTTGGAAAGGCAAATGTCAAGGAATGTAGTGCGTATGGTTTTCTTTTGTACAGACGGCCTTTTTCTTCTTCCTGGGCCTGTCTGGCTCTTTCCATTATCTCTCTGATAAGTGAACACAACGTTGGCTGATGAATATAGTTGGAGACTTTAGAAATGACAAATTTTCTTGCTGGAGCACAACACATTTGCTAAAATTAACACATATTTCCTGCTGAGAGGCTGATCGGTGCACTGCAGGAACAAGAGCTTTTTTCTTTGTTGCACTGAAACACTTAGAGAACAAAAGCTAACTGGCAAACGCACCACACTAACACAGTCTGTTCATGACGGATACACTGACATGTAGCTCTTACTCGCCCCCTCACATCTATCATCACATCACCACTCAGTTGCTGGCGGGTTGTTGTCATGGTGATAGCCAAATTGCTCCCTTCACAGCTAATGCTGCTAAATTAAACTCACGCACTTCATTATTTGAAAATAATAGCGTATTAGTTTCTTATGTTATTCTCAAAGCAAAGAAACTGGTAACCAAAAAAAGTATGATTTTGGCTGCAAAATACATTTTCTGTTGACTTTGAAAAATGCTCTTGTAGAAATTATTCCCCTCCATCGATGAGCAACAGGAAAATTAGAACAAGAATTCCATACAGAAATGTTCAAGTGTCAATAACAGATGTATTCATCTGCCAAACATTTTTTGTTTTCATAGTAACTTCAGCAGCAGAGTGCATAGTAGATAAAACTCATCTTTCATCTCATCAATGGCTGGTATTTTTCGACAGGGAATTATGATTAATTGATTACGCCTAAGGAAAAAATAAGATTCTGATAGAAAAATGCTTTGTTATATTCAATATAACATCTAACCTAAATTTTACTTTGACATGTATGTCCACTTTCTCTCATAAAATATTTAATATGAAGCAGTTCCTTGCATTCATTTAGTTTGGATTTTAATTAGAAAAATAAAAAAGATTTTTGTTTAAAATTTGTACAATATTACAATAACATAATCGGCACAGCGAATACTCTTTACCTGTGCTACACATGGAAAGTCAGTTTTGTATTGTTTTGTCAATAAAGTTTTGGGTTTTGAAAATCGCGCCATAACTGCAATAGCTAGCTTAACATTTAACCCCTTTTCAACTGCATCATTACCTAGTTAACCAGGTGAGTCACTGTTTCGGTTTAACAAATTGTACGGTTTGGAGTTGGTTGGTGAAAATAAACGTTAAAAAGCAAACGAGAAACAACTTTTTTTCTTTTTGATAATATTAATGTCGATGTTTGATACATGTATGCAAGTTGTACGAACTGTTAGCTTATACAAGCTAACAGTAAAAAATGCAACAGAAGCTACCTTTTATCGACCAGTGCGGCTTTCAGTGTAAGCTATGGATTGTTTTTAATAGGTAAAACGTCAGAAACAATGAACAACACGGATGTTGTTTATGAGAAGACACACTTCAGACATGACCGGAAGTGGAGCGTCCACCTACGGCCTGCAGATGGGGGAATGCTGCTCTGTATGGCCTGTGTTATTGAAATGATCGAGACGCAAGAGATCCCGGTGAGAGAAAAAACTAAACAATCCTTTCAGCTCTCCATTTATAGAAAAAAAATAACCAGTAACACTTTTTCGAGGTTGATTTTGTGTTTTTACTCATAATTTTATGTCCTTGGAATGTTTTAAAATCCACAAACCTTTTCAAATCCTTCCACAGCTTTCTTTTACATTCTGTTTGTTTCCCAGTCAGCGAGGAAGTCGTTTGTCTTATCTGCCCTTAGCGGGATGTTGAAAAGCTCTGCGGGTGCTTTGAAAGAGCTGCTCCGACAGGACCGCAGAGTCACTCAGCACTTTATCACCACACTATTAGGTGAGAAAGTATGCATCGGTACAATGAAAGGTACAGGTGGGTCTGGCAGGTGCGATCAGATCAGAAAAGCACTTAACCTTTATCTGTCATTTGTCATTTCTCTGGAGGCAGAAATAGTGCGTCTGAGCTCCTGGCCAGGTTCTTAGCTGTGTAACACAAGCTCAAGATGCCTGTTTTTATTAGCACGCTATGATGCAGTATTCCTAGTGCATACCATTTGCGTTTTGGACATTATCAGCTTATCACACGTGTGTGTTTGTGTTTTTAGCTGATACTTTTATCCCAAATTACTTAGGAATCAAAACAATGTGTGTTCAGTCATAACAGCTAAATCTTAGAGAACACAACCCTAACCACGAAATGAAGAATAACAACTAAGAAAAAAGAAAATGGATTAGTAATTAGTAATTTCTCCTGGCCCGTTCTCAGCCTGACACATTTCTATCATCATTACTCGGGAGTGCTTTTCAGGTGGTAGATGCATGTTTACATACTTTCCTGTGCCCTGGTGGGAGTGAACAAGTGTGTGTGTGCCTGTGTGAGAGAGTGTTTGCATTGGGCTAGATCACTGTCATGGTCACAGAGAGCAGATGAGTACTAGAATACTGTGGCCCATTTGTACAGCTGTAGGGTTTGAGGCTTAACAAACCAAGTCAAATATCTGGGTAGAGTGACGAGAGCAGATGCTGCCAATGTGGTGTGATTTGATAAAGTACTCTTCGTTATGTTTTAACGAGGGGATTATTTCTTTTATTTCAGTAAATGTGTGTAATCTGTCGTATTTAAATAGTTTCTGTGCCTTTTCCTTCTGCAGGTTTGCTTCAGACCTTGGAGGACCCAGTCACTATGGAGAAGGCAGACCAAGGTGAATAGATGCCCCGTTGTGCTTTGATTTGCGTCCCCCCTTCCATCCACAATTAGACACATTCACACCACAAGTACACCTACACGTTCTACCCATATCACATCACACCACACAAACTCACACTTCTATACAGTTGTCTTGTTAACACACCTAAACACGGTCTCTAAGCGTCTTAGTAAAGTTACTGCCAGTAACCGAGGCGATCCTTCACTCTAACCCCGGCTTTCCCGCGGAGCCGTCAGCAGCACGTTACTGCAGCAGCACGTCATAGCTGCTGATAGGAACCGCTGTGGTCAACAGAACCTTTTCCACTGGAGCCGTCGGCAGCGCGAGTCGGCCGCGTCTCAGGAGCAGCATGTCGCGGCCTTTACGCGCCGGTTCTATTTTCTACGCGCGACGTCTCTGAAACGGGTCAAGTTTGACATTTTTGGGGAAGGAAAGACAGGAAATCGGACGCAGAAATGGAGAGAAGCTCCCGAGATTTTCAGAATAAAGAACGTACTGCCTTCCGGTTGCTTTACTTAAAAAAAAAAGTTACTAACTGTGCGGCCCCGTGAGAAGTTATCACCTAGCTAGCGGTCTCCTTTGTTTTTCAGGTCCGTATTGGCGATTATAAAATGGACAGAACATTAAACACAAACCTTTTGGAGCCATGTTGTAGTTTTCTCCTGCTTGTTGTTGTGTTTACTGACGAAGTCACTCGTGTGACTTCGTGCTCTGTCGGTGACAGCTGCTCCCCTGCTGCTTCGCGTCTCGTGGGAAGGGCCAAGCAGCAGCTTACACGAGCAAGACGTGCTGCTGCAGTAACGTGCTGCTGACGGCTCCCGTGGAAACCCGGGGTGAAACTGAATGATGCCGTCGCATTACACAAGTACAGTTGCAGTCAGAAGTTCATGCATTCATCATCAGCATGAACCTCATATTCATTTGGGAGTTTTAATGATTAATTTGAGCTGTTCTTTGTTCAGAGTGGAGTGATTACACAACGTACAACTTTAATGGTTTTTAAAGCAAGCATTAAATTCATTAGCTTGACTTTACCCTGGAATGATTTTTCTCTCTCATAGGGTCTAAATTACACACACAGGCTAAAAATATCAAATGTCTTTGAAGTTGTTTGATTTTTAATCCTTCCAAAAGATTAAATCAATTATTAAAATACCACAAATTAATATGACTTTCATGTCTGAGGTGAGTATTTTGAACTTCTGCCTGCATCTGTGGATAGATCCTCATTTAGATCTGATTTTTGTTTAGTCCAAAGAAACACAGATTTTTGTTTTTAGTTCAGTGATGAAGCCTCCGTTGTGGCAGCTGAGCCCCGTTTTCTGGTTCTCAGACAGCCCGGGCTCTCTGAAGGCTCACAGTACAAAGATGTTTGCTAAGAGCTAATGAATGAGTCATTTTCTGTTTGGTGTCCAAGAATGCTTTAGAGACCACGTTGTTGTAAAAGTTAGTGGAGTATTAAATGTTTAATGGGTTTTTTCCTCTGTGCTCAGTTGATGACACAGTTACTCTGATCACATGCAATGTTAATGAAACACATTAAACAGCTGTATACTCTTTTGTTGACAGTTGAACATATTTTCAGATGATTGCATGATTTATTTAACAAACGCATCTCTTGGCGTGGTCTATTGTCTCTAAATGCACACATTTGTGTCTGTTTATCCGTTATCAGTTCTGGTTCAGCTGCTTTTAGAGCTGCAGGATGAGCTGCCCTTTCACATCGTTTTGGATGCGATACACAAACAGGTGAGGCAAACAGAACATGTTTACAGCAAAACAAAACATGTCCTAACACATTTGCATATGCTGGCACAGGCAAAGGCCCCAGCGTTTCAAAACATTTAACAACATCATCCTTGGGGGGCTTTGTTGTAAACACAGCAGACGCTTGTCTTCTTGCTGCTTTGTGTCACCTCAGGGAGACGATGGTGGAGGAGCATCCTTCTGCAGCCAGTCAAATATAATTATACCAATAATGAGAAAAGGCTGAGCACACAGGCCTCATTTATCTCACTGGAGTAGATGTAGATTAGAACACTTAAACACAGATTGGTAAATATTGCTAAATAAAAACAAAACACTTATAAAACGAATTAAACTTTCCTTCTTAATTTATAAATAAGAAACTAGTTAGTTTTCTTTTTATTTGCTGGAGTTTTATGATTCATGAAGCTGAAAGTTGATACGTTTGTTGAGCTTTTACTAAATTTAACTTACATTGTCAAAAGCTGTGTTTTTTCTATTTGATGAAATTGCAAATGAATTAATTAGAAAAACCCATTTGAGATTAAATTGAGGTAAAAATAAAGGTTTTAAAATCTAAATATTCATAAAGTGATCTGTTCTTCATATACAGAGGACCTGTGTGCATGTTCTGATTTGTGTCTGGTCTGCTCATTCAGACACTACTCGTTAGGGCTGAACGATTTTAGAAAAAGATAGAATTGCAATTTTTCCAGCAGAAACTGCGATTTTGGTTCAGTTCACAATTTTCTGCAAACAAAGGTCCGACACTAGCCCGCCGAGCCGTCCTGTAGATTAAAAAGATGGTCTAGACTCTAATCTAGTACAACTAATCATTCACATTAATATTTACTATTTAATCATACAATAAAAACAGTTAAAGCTATTAATATTTTCTCCCATTATTATCTTTTTTTATGTGTTTGTGAAGCAGCTTGTGATTTTTATCTAGAGAGGAGCTTTATAAAAACACGTTCTACTCCAGAAATGCACGGAGGAGATCTGTAGGTAGAAACAGCTTTTACATGTATTAAATGAACACCGTTTCCCTGCGTTACCGCGGCAGGCTGAAGCCGTCTGATAGTTAGTCCTCACTAACGTCGGCTCCGTGAGAGAGACGCACGCATTCTGACGCCTTAGCTTGTCTGAGCTAACGTGTGCCGTCAGAAACATTCAAACCATTTTTAAAAGAGAAGTTCAGCTTTGAAGTCAACTAAAGTGCGCGACTCCGCGCTCGCGCTGATGAAGCATAAACCAAGCTTTAGAAATCAGCCTGAACCTGCTGATGTGGGAGGAGTCTCTCTCTCCCTTACTCAACTACGTTCCCTCTCTCTCTCTGTCCGGGGCCCACCTACGGTGCATTATTATCGGCTCTAGCAGCGCTGTGTGTGGGAACATGAAACAGGGAAATAACCTGAACATGCAGCTCTGGCAGCTGTGGAGTTGGGCTCGGCTCTGGACGGTACACCCCACCCCCCTCCTTGGCGCTGGCTTTTGCCGCTGCCATAACACAGGGGGAAAACCCTGGATGTAAAAAAAAAGTTACACAACTGATCCTGGATCAGTCGAAACCGCTAAAACCGCAGCTTTGACGTTCACGTGATGGTGCTGTTTGAAATCGCAGTTTCAGTTCAAAAACGATAGATCGTTCAGCCCTACTTCTCATCTCTGACAAAATTTCTATTTAACTATAGTACATTCCATCCATCCATCCATTATCTGAACCCACTTGTCCACGTAGGGTCGCGGGGCTGGTGGCTATCTCCATCGGTAACTATAGTATATTGTATTTCTATATTACTTTGTTGTTGTTTTGTTTTGTTTAGCTGAGTGACCAATTTAATGTGAAACGCTTCCTGCCTACATTCAACTTCCTGGGAAGCCTTCTGAAAACAGTCCCCAACGTGGCTCACAGCCTTCTGACTCAGTATGGTAAGACACGACTCAGTCACTCTGTAAACTGAAGCAGGCACAGGTCCACAGATGGGAACTTTATGGTTTTTATTGGCGTTTATCTCACTGGGCTGTGACTCGGCAAAGAAATTACAAAGAAAATTTGTGTGGGGGTTACCAAAAGACCTCAAATCATTTAAGTGTTCTTAACTTTCGTTACAAGTCGTGTTGTGGGACTTTTCAGCTTGTAGTTAGCATGCTAAGCTAACCTTTGTAGTGCTGGGCCTTATAGAAATGGTTTGTTTTAGAGATGTCCCGATCAGGGCTTTCTTGCCCTTGAGTTCGAGTAATTTTATTTTGAGAATCCTCCGATACCGAGTTCCGATCCGATGCTTTGGATACATAAAAAGAATAAGTAAAGCGAAGAAACAGACCCAGAATGTTCCATGTTTTTTATTTAATTAACCGCTGATGAGCTTTGCTGCAGTGGAGCGCGGCAGACACGAACAAAAGACAGAAATTACCTGAGAGAATATGAGCGGACATGAACGATTGCGTGTTAATTATATCCTTTTTTGGGTGGCGCCACTTTGAGAATGTTACTGTGGCCGAGTGCAGGGCGCAGCTGCCTGGAGCGCATGAATAATCAGTGCTCTGCTGCTCTCTTCCTCTCCACTCAAAATAATCCCCTGAGAGTCCATATAAATAATGTAATATAGGTAGAAACTGGATCTTTTTTCGGGCTCCCTCTGCATGTGTAAGTTGAGAGCTTCCCGGAAGCCCGTCATCCTCTATGGAAAACCGGGTTCCTCTTAGCTCTCCTATAATTTGAACCTTGTATCCAAGTTTGGATCGGGAAGTAACGCCCGATCTCGATCGAGTCTGAAACCACGTAATCGAGACCAATTCCCGATCACGTGATCGGATCTGGACATTCCTAATTTATTTGTCTTTTTTGCCTTGAACAGACCCATTTGCACAAAATACCAGTTGGAACTTCAACAGCCATGCTTTTATTTGTTGTATAATTATTATTTTCTGATTCTTAATTTGAAGGCTTATACTACCGTAGGAAAGGAAATTTATTAGCACATAAGCCCCTCTTAGCAATTTCATCACCAACCGCCTCTAGGAGTTTGCCTTTGTCCACCAGTTACAAGACTGGCTGGGGACAGGTCTAACCTTGTGCTGCAAGATGAATTCTCGCCAGATTTGGAGTTTTCCAAACTCAGGAGATGCTGATGTAAGATGTGGGCTGCCATTATTGACTGTGTGTCTGCCTGTGGCCTGTCACTCACCAAGTACCTGCGGGCCTTTTGGACTGTCGACAGCTGTGAGGCTGTGACAACACTAGCCCAGAGCTCCCAACAGAACTCATTCTCGTCCGATTCACTGTCTGCCTGCCTATCCATATGATTAACCCCTTCGTCTCTTTTCTCAGCCTGTTGTTTCCTCTTCATCCGCTAAAATTCAGAGACTTGAAGGCGTGCCACTCCCACGGTACCTGAATAAAAAGTGGACACAGGAACGATAAGGAGCAGAGAAGGAAGTAGAACTAGAAGGAAATGGCTCGTTTAAATTATTCCTCACAGTTGAATTTCATTAGAGATCACAACTTCAGTCATTTTGGCTTTTAGGGCATTTATTTTAAATGGAGAACATCTGTACAGACACTGGTATTAAGAGTTGAAAACATTATTTTCAATTGAGGGTAATATACTGGCGTTTTATGAATCCGGCAGTCTCATGGACGTACTGTAGAGCACAGAGAAAGGCTCCGTAGCGTAGAGTGGTACCACCTGATTAATGGGGTGGTATTAGAGCGCTCACAGCATCACAGTGGGCAGCGAGACACTAAGGTAAACGTTTCCCATCCTTGTTTCCAAAAGGAAAAGGGAGTCTTTGGTGTGATGTGAAATGTGCTGCTAAACAACACTTTAACCTCTCTGTGTGGGGGCCTTTACCCTCTTACTCCCGTTTTTTCTTTCCTTCACTCTCTCCTTCCCTCTGAAATCCCGGCTTTCTTCCTGACCGCCTCATATTTTGGTTTACTCAAACATGTCTGGCAGCCTCTCCTGCTTCAGATGGGTTTTGATCTGCCGGACGGAGCAGCTGGGCTTCAGCTCGGCTCTCATACACTGCCATCTCTTCCTGTTTTCTTCTGTCTTCTTCTCCAGCAGCTCTGTGTACTTCTGTGCTGTTTATATTTGAATGTCACTACTCCATCTTTCATTTCTTTAGCCACATCTATTTTTAGGATACACAGTCAGTAGTTCTCAGCTGCATCACTTTGCCTTTATTTGGTCATCGATTTGCTTCCAGTGCAGTTAGACCCCCATATGTGTGTTTAAAGGTCTCATTAACTCTTTATTTAGAGAAAGTTGCTGTGGTCTCTTGTATGAATGAATGCCTTGACTCAATGGAAAGCAGCTCTGGCACTCCTGTTTCAGGTGGTTAACGTTTGCTGGAGAAATGGGGGCTGAAAATGACAGGATTACGAGTCATACTCATGATATGGTCTCTGATTGACCAACAGCAATGTGACTCTTCAGCTTCCTGTGTTCACTCTTCACCGTTTGGCTGAAAAATGCAACACTGATGTTTAATCTCCTCAACTAACACAATACTGAACGTATTCCGCCCTGTTGTGATGTTGCTAATGCTAACAGTTTGCTGCTACTAGCTGAGATGTGCTCTGCTCTCTCCTGTATGCTAAATCAACAACAGAGTAGCCTCCTTTATAAGACAGACCATCGCGTCATTACAGAGTGATAAATACGAATTTGTGGGTCTCGTAAACACGGCAAGGAGCAAAGGGGAACTGTGATAAAACTGGATTCTGATGCACTTAGCCTCGTAGTAATATTGTCTCATCAGCCCCTCGCCTCTGACGGCTAAACGCGTGCCAGCCCTGCTAATCCCTTTGGAGCGACTGTGGGAGGCCCCCCCGCAAAAGAGGGTGGTGCGTTAGTGACGTGTGCTGCGCGCCGAGTGCCGGCCGGAAGCGATATAAACGCAGATAAACAAGGCCTCTCACTCGTATCTTTAAACCCCCTACAACATGGCAAACTGGACGCACGCAGAGACCACGGAGCGTTTGGCCGTGCGAGCGGACGAACAGATTAGTCGTCTTTTTACGGGGACGGTGAGAGACAGCCAGCTGTTCGACAGAGTGGTGAAAACACCGGCTGAGCGGGGCGTCAAGCGGAACAAAAAGCAGGTCACATCAACACTAAAGGTCCTGAAGAAGAAATTTCATCAGTCTGACGTGTCTTCCGTCTGACGCTGAATGTGCGACCCTGTACGTCACATGCGTGGGGGGGGGGGCGCCCAGCGACCTCCCTTTATTCCATCTTGGTTTGAGAGGTGCCTGATCCCCAGGGAGCCGTGGCAAATCCCGTTTTGCAAATGCTATGGTCCTGTAAAACCAGCTATTGACCTTGATTTCTACGTTTCCCTGTGACGTAGAACAGGGATTCCCTAAGTGTGGAGCTGCCGCTAGGGGGTGCGCGAGGTGAAAAGTGTAATGGCTGCGGAGCTCAGAGAAGTCTGTCATATGTCACCATTAGCGTAGCCAGAAACTCATTTGTGGGTGGGCCTAAGAAAAAGTAAGTGGACACAATAAATGTAATTGAAAACAAGTATATTGTGTGTGTGTGTGTGTGTGTGTGTGTGTGTCCTCCGCATGTGCCCTAGCTTCATAATAATAATGCGCTCCGAGCTTCAGCGCTCTGGCCTGCGCACGCTGTCAACGGCAAGATATGTTCCGTATTTGATCATTTTTAACGATGATGGAGAAATCTGAAGGTGGCGAGTCATTCTGGCAGATTGTAATTAACACCTGTCTCATGCAGGTGTTCTGACATTGTAAACCTCACACACACAACATTGTGGATGTAACTAAATAAATCAAGAAATGATTCCCATCTGAGCATTTTAGCATTATTATATTATTATATTAGCACACTGACTGTGGGACAGCATTCTAAACGTGTCAGGCTATTAACAGCGCGCTGAAGATCTGAAGTTCAGAGTGCGTCTGTCATCGCGGGTTTCCAGTCCGGCAGAAGCGTCTCGGGGGAGATACCCAAAGGGGAGGCGTGAGTGTTCAGGGACTGTGTTTGCATATAAACACTAGCTTGTTTGCAGGTTTGCCATAACAGCTTTAATTCATAAAAAAAATTAAGTTCTTTTCTCATATATTTTGAAAAGAAAGTATTCTTCCCCCTGTGGAGCAGGACCTTTAGTTATGGAAACTTACACACTCTGACATGACCTTGACTTTTTTGATACTTTAATTTTTCCTCTCGTACTCTTGCTTTGTGTTCTTTATCTGTTTTTCTTTCCCCCTAGTCTTTTTCTATTCCCTGTCACCCTCTGGCTTTTTATCTTCAACCTTCCCACACCTACCAGTGTCACACTTTATTTTGCATCATCACTGTCTGTGTGAGGCATTTCTTTGTAGTCCAACTTTTGTTTATCTTCTAATTCTGAATCGTCCTTCTGGTTGACGGCATACCTGGAAACTCAGGTGATCTGCTCTTTTATCTTTTATCTAAGATGACTCCTGTTTTTCTATTCTTTTTTAAAGGGTGTGTGCTTTTAATACATTCTCTCTTACAGCCATTCTGAACTCCTTTAATCTATGACACAGATTTCATTTTCGACATTGGCTCTCTCTGTATTTTCTTTCAAGGCTGAAGTTTAACCCTGCTGTATTTCCACTGCTGCTCCTCCAGACAGGAGTGACACTCTTCGATACCATGACTACCAAGGACTGACCTCGGTTATTATTTTTAGTGTGAAAAACAAAATCTGATAAAACTGGATGGCAGAAACACTCACTCATTATTTGAACTGTTTATTCGTCAGTAGGGTTGCAGGGAGCTGGCCAGAGCATCATTTAAAGCTCCTCTGAATATGAAGAAGACGAGTCGTAATTGCAGTTGTGCTCCTGGCTTCTTTATTATAACCCGTGGGTTAGCACAAGTGAAGCAGGAAAGCAGCTGATAGACATGATTGCTCATGGGTGTGGTTTTTCTGCAGAATGACAAATATGACGTATGTATAACTTCACCTTATTAAATAACTAATACACATCAGAATATTAACCTTCTGCCTACACATCAGTTAATAACCATACTAAACAGTCAGAGGTCACTAAATCATCATCAGCTCACATAAAGCCACTATATTAAGCTTCTTTATGCCATCTACTTACTACCGTTGGGGAATCTTCTTCTGCGGTTTGGCATGCGTTTTCATTTTTATGCTGACGACTGTCAGATCTACCTCCCCCCTCAGTGGGGGGTCGATGGGTCAATATCAAAGCTTGTAGATGCCTTAGATCAGGGGTGTCAAACTCACACGGGGCCGAAATGAAACTCTGGGACGGAGTCGAGGGCCAAACTTAATATTTTTTTAAAAAGTGACTGCAAATTTGCACGTTTTCTTTATCAACATGTATGCAATTTTGAACCTTTAAATTTGGAAACAAACATATTTCTGCATTAACACTGAATGTGGAATAACCAAATTACACACGAGCAAGTCAGTTTTAAATAAAACACATCAGTGGTATTCATTACTTGTGGTATAATCAGCATTTTTAAAATCTATTCAGGATTTATGTTTTCTTGTTTATTCATTTTTCTTATTTTTTATTCTCCTTTTTTCTCCTGTAATAAGTGTCATCGCTGCTGTGACGTCTAGCTTTCCCCACTGAGGAACAATAAAGGGATTTTCTATTCTATTCATCTATCTGCAGCCTTTCCACTTCCTGTTTACTGTAGGTTAAATCTTTTCTCACGGGCCAACAACAAAATAAAAATATCATTTTATCTTAAATGAAAATGCAACATCTCACCTGTTAACTTTCATGTTTTGGAGCAGAAAAAGAGCATAAAACCAACATATTTAAAGCTCAGTTTGTTCCACTGGTTTACTGTGATGCTCACCTGTTCCAGCCAGATACCTGCATCATGGGGTTGATCTGAGCTGAGGAGGAGACTCCTGTTGTTTTGTTCATCTTCATCATAATAACGACAACATTAGATGACAACAGGTGCTCACATAGGTTTGTGCTGATGAACATGTCTGAGCAGCTTGACCACGTTGTTGTGTGTCGGGGAGGAAACACGACAGCAGCCACAGAGCCGTGCTGGTTTGAGCGTGTCGCTGCTCGCTGGAGTTATATCAGCTCTGTCTGGAAGTTAGTTTGAAAACTTTCTCTTTAAGTCGTGAACACATTACTGAGCGGCTAGAATCTCCGTTTCTGGGCTTCAACGTCAGAAAACAGCTGAGTGAACTCGGCGCTGAGTGAGAGGAGTGTAGCTTGTCCGAGACAGCGGAGCTGCAGACACCAACTACCCCTGACTGCCTCGGCGCTGAAAAAACACAAAGGAGGGGGTGCGTCTGCTCCACGCTGGCGCCGCAAAGCATCATGGGAGTTGTAGTCTTTGCGGTAAAATCGGCCAGAGGGCCAGTTTTAATATATTTTTGATATTTATCTCGCGGGCCACATAAAAATGCTCCGCGGGCCGCATCTGGCCCGCGGGCCTTGACTCTGACATATGTGCCACAGAGGATGTGCGCTCCTGGATGGCTACAAACTTTTTACATCTGAATGATGCTAAGACTGAAGTAATTGTTCTTAACCCTGGCATGTCTACACGCCCATGCGATGCTGTGAATCTGGGCCCTTTAGCATCCAACAAGAAGACCACCATCCGAAATTTGGGAGTGCAACTGGACTCAGCCCTTAAATTCGACGCGCAAATCAACCAGGTTGTGCGATCGTGTTTTTTTGACTTACGTTGACTAGCCAGAATTAAGCCCCTGCTGTCCAGAGTACATCTAGAGACTGTCACACATGCTTTTGTTCTTTCAAGGCTCGACTACTGCAATGCACTGTATGCCAGCCTTAGTCAGGGTGCAGTAGCACGCTTGCAGTTAGTACAAAACTCAGCCGCTAGGTTCGTGACAGGCACTATGCACAGGAAACATCACCCCTGTGTTGGCATCCCTTCATTGGCTGCCTGTACAATACAGGGCAAAATTCAAGGTCTTGGTACTGGCATACAAGGCTTTACACGGAACTGCTCCAGCATATCTTGACAACCTTTTGCATAGGCATGCCCCCTCGCGGGGCCTTCGCTCAGCCGGCAGGGAGCTGTTGATCGTTCCACCCACTAAGTGCAGGTCATGGGGGACCGTGCGTTCTCGGTGTTGACACCTGCACTTTGGAACCAGTTGCCTTTGATGGTGCGTCAGTCACCCTCACTGGGGGGTTTTTTAGACTTGCCTTAAGACCCATTTTTTTGTCGAGGTATTCCAGGATTAACAAATTTTACCCGGTTTCGATGCCCCGGCCTCTTAATCTTTTTCAGGATTTTATTTTTTGCTTTTACTCTCCTTTTCATTGATTTTATGTTGGTTTTACGATTGTTATATTTTTTTCTGATGGTTTTATGTTTTTGTGTTGTGTTCTGCATTGGTCGCAGAAGGGGCTTTATAAATAAATGAAATGAAATGAACTGTTTTAGCTTCAGAAACGTTGTGCATCAACTGATGCAATTAGTGACATTTTAGCATGACAATAAGGCGGAAAACGTCCAGATATCGGTCATGAATATCGGCCCAAACCATTGGCAGCACATATCGGCTATTGGCTGACCATGACCACTATGTACCAGCGTCGGTTTTGATCAATTAAAAAAACCATATCGCTCGACCTCTACTGCGAACATCAAATCTGATACAGCTGAAGCCAGAGAGCAAGATATCATGATGTTACGGTCTTTTACATTTATCACACAGAAACAGTTGGTCTGTTTTGATCATTTGAATGATTAATGCTGTTTTTTATGTAAAGAGGCTCGTTTTGACTTATTTCTATCATTCACCAGTGCCTATGTTAGACCACCTGTGCTCAGCCCTGCTTTATCCAGATGAAGCGCTGAAGACTTCAGTCGTGTATCTGTGGCTTCAGCTGCTGGAGACATCTGGAGACGCAGCGGTCCAGTCCCTGCCTGTTGCCACAAGGGACAGACTGTGCATACTGCTGCTGCAGACCTTTGCCAATGCTGGCTTGGGACAGCTCATTAAAAACTGTGCTGGTGAGAAATACATCCCTTTTCCCCTCCTTTTATTTTCACTTTTTGGGGACACGTTTGTATCTAGCTAAGTAAAATCATTAATGAGGTGCTTTTTAAAGGCGTACTGTGCAACTTTTTCATACTTTTAACTCATTTTCTTGAGCCATTATGTGCTAAAATGACCCTTTACAGGCCAGAATACCGCACTTGTAACTTCTGAGTGCCGGTCCAGTTCCTGTTGGACTTAGTAAAGTGGAGCTGACATGCCCGGCCCTGAAGCCTGCTTCCAGCATATTTCCTGCATGCTTTGGATCATGAACACAGCTGATTTGTTTGATTTATAGATGAATCGCTCCTGTAGACACTAATGAAGGCTAAGGGGGCATTTCAGCGGTTAGATTAAGGTGTTAAAAAGATGAACACACAGCAAAGAGATACGTTTGAGGGTGCTAAAAGCAAGCCAAAACTGCATAGTATCCTTTTAATACTGTTTTCAGTGATTTACCACCTCTTCTAAAGCAAGTGTGTGTAGAGTTGGACTTGTAGGGTTTTCACTGTGAAATGAAATTAGTTTAATGGAAATATTTTATAGGTAAAAGTTATTTTATTAGTCTTTATCAGATCAAAAATGTTAATTCATTTGTCTCAAACTGTTTTCATCAGAAGTAAAACTTTTGGAGGAATGTGATTGACATTTTTGCACATTTAGAGTAAATAGTTTAAAAATTTGCTAACAAACAAACCAGTGATGAACTTAGTAACACGTTGATTTATTCAATGAACATTTAAAAGTCTAGCATCCCTCACAGGATTTTCCAGCTCCTTTCATCCCAAGCTTTTAAACAAAGATATTCAACTGTTCCTGTTTCTTATACATTTTTCATTAGGAATTCGTAAGAACATCAACAACACATTAGACAACCAACAACAACCATCTTGTTTATAACATTTTACCAACTCACAACCCCCATGTCCACCAGTCCACTCAGGTCGCCGAGTCGCTTTAAGTCCATCCAAGCCAGGGAATTGGAAGTTGGATTATTGATCCTTGCTGATGATAGTTCCATATAAATAATGTCCAAATACACTCTAAGCCAGTGCACAAAAGACACGTTGTTAGGCCGTTTCCATCTTTGAGCTGTGATTTTCTTCATTGCAGTCAGTCCTGCCAGCCAGATGCTACTGGTTTTCTCTATGTGATAGTCATGAGTCATAATTTAATAAGTGAACAACAGGATCCAATGGGAGAGGGGCACCACTCAAATCAGTAATCCAACCAAATATTTTAACCCAAAGGTCCTGAACTCCAGGACGTTCCCATGCAACATCAACAAACTGATGCAGCACCGTTTTGTATCTAATTATCGGTGTTAAATAAGCTCTATGACAAATGTTCATGTGTATATAGCGATGATTGGAGTTTTACCAGACTGGAGGTCTTATATCAGGTACTGGTACTGGGGAAAATTGAGGAATCTTGTTACAAAACATTTTTTTATCACTGTCACTTTTGAAGAGGAGTGTGATGCACACAGAAAGCATACACTGACTGAAGATAAATATTCTGCATTGCAAAAAAAAGTTGCTACCAAATAAAAGATCACCCACTCTAATATTTTGTTGGACCGCCTTTATCTTTGATTATGATACACATTTGCTGTGGCTTTGTTTCGATGAGCTTCTGCAATGTCCCCAGATTTATCTCCATCCAGTGTTGCATAAATGTCTCACCAACATCCTGCATTGATGATGGTGGAGTCTGACTGCTGCTCAAACCCCTCTCCAGCACATCCCAAAGATTCTCAATGGGGTTAAGGTCTGGACTCTGTGGTGGCCCATCCATGTGTGAAAACAATGTCTCATGCTCCCTGAACCTCTCTTTCTCTATTTGAGCCAGATGAATCCTGGCACTGTCATCTTGGATGTTATAACATCAGGGAAGATGGAATAACCTGGTCATTCAGTATATTCAGAAAAGTCAGCTGACTTCATTCTTGGAGCACTTCCATTTGCTGAGCCTAGACCTGACCAACCGCAGCAAGCCCAGATCATAACACTGCCCCCACAGGCCTGTACAGTAGACACTAGGCATGATGGGTGCATCCCTTCATCTGCCTCTCTTCTTACCCACCATCACTCTGGAACAGAGTCCATCTGGACTCATACATACATTCATAAATATATACATAATTATTAAGTACAATACAGGCCAAAAGCTAGGACACACCTTCTCATTCGATGTGTTTCCTTTATTTTCAAGACCATTTACATTGGGACATTCTCACTGAAGGCATCAAAACTATGAATGAACACATGTGGAGTTATGTACTTAACCAGAAAAGGTGAAATAACTGAAATCCTGTTTTATGTTTGATTTTCTTCAAAATAGTCACCCTTGGCTCTGATTACTGCTTTGCACACTCTTGGCATTCTCAGTGAGCTTCAAGAGGTAGTCACCTGAAATGGTTTTCCAACAGTCTTGGAGGAGTTCCCAGAGGTGTTTAGCTCTTGTTGGCCCCTTTATCATGGTCATGAAAGTAAAGAAAACACATTAAATGAGAAGATGTGTCCAAAATTTTGGCCTCTACTGTAAATATTGTATATGTTAACATTTAATATGTTGTGTTATTTGATGATTTGGAAATCGATGCTCCTATTTCTTTCTAAAAGCATGTCTGTACTGGCTTTATGAATAAATCCCTTTTAAAATGGCATCACAGAGAATCTTAATTGACTCATTTGTATGATGCAACTAGACTAGACCTCATTTCAGCTTATATGAATATTTTATTACTAATATTTCAACACTTTAGACACTTTATTTAATTAGAATATCGGTTTGACTTAATACCACCAATTCATTTAGATTTTTCTGGGTTTAATTTTGACTTAGTTAAAAAGCTGTGAAACTGCAAATCCGTCTTATATTTTTCAGGTTAAAAACGTTTATTTGCAAGACAGAATCCAGGAGAATTGTTGTTGGTCTCATAGTAAATCTTTTGCGTACATTTAAAACATTTTCTTTGTTGTTGTTTTTTAACTCCGTTAGGTTTGCTCTGGCAGCTGGTGAAGCTGGATGAGGCTGTGTCAGTTCTGATGAACCACCCAGGCAGTCAGATCCTGTGTGATGGGAATGAGAACATGCTCGTCAACAACAGCCAAAACCAAGAGCAACCGCCTGCTGACCATTGCCTCCTACCCCTCCTTCTGAAAAAGGTCTCTGTCTAAACATCCTGCTCCCACTCCTAAGACCTGAACCCTCACATGGACGGAAATCATAACAAAATGCTTTAGTCCGGGATTAATGGGGATTTAGTGTGGGTTTTACCCTAGACAAATATTTGTGCTTCATGTCTGGGAAATCAATGTGCAGATCAGATTTGGCTGGATTCTCTCAGTGATGACGTTAATGGGTTTTAGTTCACCAGTTTGTTGCTAGGAAGTTAAACTGAATAATGAGCTAACTACTCTGCCAAAACACACTTAATTCAGCCAAATAAACCCTTACATGAGTCCATTCCAGCAGCATAGATGGTTTTAGATAAACCCTTCATGATGTTACCTACTGGTGTGTAAACTTGAGTTCAGCAGTTGGCCGTTGCCCTGTCGGCCTTTGTCAAACCAGAATTGATCAAATTTGGACAAGAAGGGAAAGAAGGATTTTCCGAAAAGTTGAAAGATTATTTGGTTTAAAGCAAAGTCTTCAGAAAACTTTCACAGATTACACTTTTTGAGTAGAAACACTACTGTTGTGCAAACGTATCCATTAAGACCATAATGACCTAACAAAAAGCAACTGGTTGAAGTAACAAAAGTTAAATCTGTGAGTTGTTTTTATAAAAATATGTCATGAACCACTTAATAGATTTTAATGAATTTCTGCCAAACTAATCACTGCATGCACATCTACTACTGAGTCACCTTTGGAGTATGCCCATCTCCTGGTAACAGCTGTTACTCCGTTTCACATATAGTGAAACCTTAAATGTGGCTTGTTTGTAGCTGAGAGTATTTAAAGGTGTCCTAGAAAAAAACTTTTTTTTTTACAATTGTAAACTTTTCTTTGAGCCTCTTTAGAGCATGTAGACCTTTGTTGGGGCTCTCAGTGACCCAGGAGCCCTGATAAATGAGCAAACACTCATACAAACAATAAATATTAAATTAGCTGTTTGCTGATTGGCCGTTTACCTCGATGGCTCTGTGACGCTGCCAGAAGCTAGAATCTTGGTGTACAGGTGTGTATCCGAGTAACTAAATGAAAATCCCTCACCTTTTGGCAAAATTTGCTGTTTTGAATCCATAATGGGTCACCTACGTGATTCATGCAGATCCGATTATTTTGGGGGGGGGGGGGGGGCTTTTACAGTTGAACTAGTTTCAGTGCTGACCACGAGGGGAAGTTTTCAAGAGTAGTTTTAAGAAGTCCCCAACACCACCAACAGTTGTCATGTCCCATGGCTTTCCTCCTGCATTTGACCTCCAGTCGTCTCTCTCAGCCCCATGGACTTGGGCCCTGGTTTGCTGATTGGCTCCCTCTCCACTCCAGTCAGTCCGTTCTACACAACTGAGAGGAGCAGCACCTTGCCTGCTGCACCAGCTGCAGACCCAGAGCCTTTTTGAAGGAACAGTTCTCCTCACAAAAGAAGGGACTCAGAGATAGTCTGATGTTCTTCCAGGCACTACTTTGTTCCTGTAACTCATAATCTAACTAGAAGTACTGGTCTGGGGTCAGTTGTTGCGTTTAGTCCATTTCAGCTTGTATGGTCTAAGGCAGGCGTGGGGAACCCTGGTCCTCGAGGGCCGGCATCCTGCACGTCTTTGCTCCAACACGTCTGATTCAGTGGTTGATTCACCTGTTCAGCAGCTCATCAGGCTCTGCAGAAGCCTGTTAATCACCTCCTTCCTGATTGAAATCTGGTGTGTTGAAGCAGGGTTGAAACTAAAATATGCTGGATGCTTGATGGACCACGGTTTCCCACCCCTGGTCTAAGGCTACTTGAAACTGTTCTTTGCCCAGAGGACTTATGGCTTATTTATGGTTAGATTTGTAGTATACGGCTAAAGTTTTGCCCCAGTAGCTTTTTGTTTTGTTCTGTCATCCTTTAAAAGTTTGTTGGTTTCCCTCCTGCTGTTAATAGAGAGGCGCTTTTAGTTTTCCACAGGTAAATAACCACCACTATTCAGTTTAAAGGCTTCCCTTTGTTTGGAATAAAACAGCTTAAAAGGGTTAAAATGAGTTTTGATCTGTATTTTATTTTACCTTAATATTCTGTGTTCCCCGCCCCTGGACCTCCTAGACAGGAGGGGGTGTAACAACAGTATAAATACATCTGCCAGAACCAACTTTTCCTGTCCTTCAGTAAGGACGTTAGCTGTACCTCACACTAGCGTTGGTAGCAAACTAGAACATATCAGGACCCACTGCAGTTTGCTTATCGCCATGGAGTTGGAGTTGAAGATGCCATCATCCAGCTGCTTCAACCAACCCACTGTCATCTGGACAAAGCAGGCAGCACTCTCAGGGTCATTTCTCCAGTGCATTTAACACAATCCAGCCTGATGTACTTTGCCAGAAACTCCAGAAGACACAGGTGGGGGCCTCAACTATCGCCTGGATTAAAGACTACCTGACAAACAGACAGCAGTTTGTGAGGCTGAAGAACTGCACATCAAACCAGGCAATCAGTAACATTGGAGCACCACAGGGGACTGTACTCTCACCACTCCTTTTCACCCTGTACACCTCAGACTTCCAGTACAAATCAGAGACCTGTCATCTACAGAAATACTCAGATGACTCTGCAGTTGTCGGGTGTATCAGAGATGGACAGGAAGCTGATTACAGAGAGCTGGTGGAGCGCTTTGTGGCATGGTGTGGAAACAATCATCTGACCTTGAACGTGAACAAAACAAAGGAGATGATTTTAGACTTCAGAAGAAACAGGGTGGAGTCAAACACTGTTTCCATCATGGGAGAAGAAGTGGAGGTGGTTGAGGAATACAAATACCTTGGAGTTCACCTGGACTACAGACTGGACTGGAGAAAGAACAGCGAAGCCGTTTACAAGAAGGGACACAGCAGACTGCACTTCTTGAGGACGCTTAGGTCCTTCAGTGTCTGTAGCAAGATGCTGCAGATCTTCTACAAGTCTGTTGTTGAGAGTGTAATCTCTTCAGCCATCGTCTGTTGGGGTAGCAGCATCAGAAGCAGGGACCTGAAAAGGCTCAACAGCCTAATAAAAAAGTCTGGTTCTGTTCTGGGGACGACTGTGGAACCAGTGGAGGAGATAATGCAAGGAAGGATTCTCCAGAGAATCAAGAAAATGATGGACAACCCTGAGCATTCTCTTCACAAGACTGTCCGACAACGGAAGAGTGTCTTCAGTCAGAGGCTTCTTCAGTTTGGCTGCAACACTGACCGCTACTGGAGATCCTTCCTGCCAACAGCCATTGTAATATACAACAACTCTTTGATGACTTTATTAATATTATTCTGAGCTACTACAGCAATCAATTTCCCTCTGGGATTAATAAAGTATTTTTGAATTGAATTGAATTGAATTATGTGGTTGGCGTTACCACCCCCAACCTTTATATATACCTGACATTGAAGTGGTTTGGGACATGCTAATGTTAGGGGGTGTATATATACGATAAGATGTTAAAATAGCTTTTCTCAGAATGAACTGTTACTCTGTGGCCATTACAACATAAATGTGGTTTTAAACTTTAAAGGGGACATATTATGCAAATCTTGCTTTTTGCATCTTTTTGTGTTGCCATGTGGGTTTCTACAGCCTCTGTAATCATTCCAAACATGAGTAAAACCATAGGCCTCCACTCCGGATGTGGAGGAGCAGCAGCTCTACTCTGAGCCCCTCACCTCATGACAGCCAATCAAGGGATCAGTGGGTGTAACCAGCAACAGCTTGTTTTCCTTAAAGTGACAAAGCCCTGAAACGGCTCATTCTGGAAGGCACGAAAATGCCAAGAATAGAGGGCGAGATGGCTTTGTGTGAGATTGTTTTAATGCAAAAAGTTTCATGAACATGTTTTCTTTTGACCATAGAACTACTTAAACCTGTTTAAAGAGCTATAATATGTCCCCTTAACTAACAGGTACCAAATTGCCGCATGTGCTGTGTTAACATCACTCACAGTTGGCTGCCTGAATCTTATTTAAAATAAACTCTTGGAACCTAGACAGTAGTTTTAACTCTCTATCCAGTAACTTTGGCAGTGGTAAAACCTTAAAACGTTCAATGTTTTCAATGTGTAACTTTCTGATAAAATGTGTCTTTCAGTTGCTGCTGAGTGGGGACGAGACATTGCAGGTCACCAGTGCAAAGTGCATTGCTGCCATTATGGTTCATTCTCCCAGTCAGTACAGTACTTTCTTCATCAGGGCTGATTTACCTGGTAAAACACACTCAGAATCAACAGCCATCAAGTCGGATTTGTCTTATGAAAATAACTTTTTCTGACATCTTTATTTATTTGTTTTGTGTAGTTATAGGTTGTCTTACATTTTCTGTACTTTAACAATTCATGGACACATTGACTTGTTTTGAAAGTAGTAACAAAGATGCGGAGGAGTTGTATAGGGCAATACATAGCTCTATCGTCATGATGCCGTTCAATCACGAAAAAATATTTAACAAAGGCCCCCACCTAATGCTAATGGTCATAGCAAGATGGTCTCCGATGCACCGCCTCCGCTGCAGTCCTGATGTAGGTACAGTTTCCTGAACTTGTTTTTTGCGTGTGTTTCTTTTTCTCGAAGGATTTCTGTTTGACCGTCTGGCCGGTTGCAACACTGAGATGTTTCTGTGGTCAATCTACAGCTGTCTGGTGCTACTAACTGAAAATCCGCTCTTCTTCTCTCAGTGCCACTCTGTCTATGGTGAGACTAAAGTTGATTTAGAAAAGTTTACCAGGTCTTTGCGTACTCCCACTCCCACTGTCGTTATGAACCGTAACAGAAGCTTCTTGTGTTTTTCTCAAATATACTCTCAGTAGTTCTACCCACAGAGAGTGCTCTAAATAAAATCTTATTGAAGAAAAAACAAAGTCTCAGAAAGAAACTGTTGAAAATATCTAAAACTGATTAGCTTTTAGAGTTAGCCCCATTCTAGATGTTAGTCAACATTAACAAACACAGAAAGGTTACAACTAAAGATATTTTACAGGTATTGAGCTAAAATGCTATGTGCTAGTAGCTGAGAAATTTCCTCAACACAAACTGAGGGTGGCAGATAGAACAACATTTCTGTATCATGTAAGATAATGTTAATCCAAGATTTTACCAAAACGATCAACACCCCCCCCCCCCCCCCCCCAACACACACACACACACACACACACCCACCCACCCCCCATTGTTTCTGTAGATAGGGTTATCTGTCACGCCCTGTCCTGTCTTCTCTTAGGTTTTAGTCGGTGTCTCCGTTAATTGCTCCCACCTGCCTCTTGTTTCCCAATCACCATAGCTCCCGCTCCTCGTGTATTTAAACCCCTTCTGTTCTGTGTTCCATGTCGTGTCATTGTTCCAGTGTCCATCGTGTGTGTTCAAATAAACCTTTGTTAAACGGACTCACCTGTTCGCCTTGTTCCTCCCCGCGTTTGGATCCTCATCTGATCACCGCTCCACTCACCAGGCACGCACGTTTGTGACATTATCTTAGTTTAAACTGGCATATGTGTGTTTTCTTCATTTACTTCTTGGCTGTAATAGCGTATTCTACTGACATTACCCTGCAGGTGCTGCTGGTGGGTGGCTGGCAAAACAAACAAACCACATTTACCGTTTTGAGTAAACACGGACAGAGCTCTTGGACATCGATACACACAAGTCAACAGAAACAAAATTCAAACGTTTATGCTCAAGCAGTTACTCATTTCTTGTAGTGCTCAAGTAACATTCTAAGTTATTTATTTACTCCTATCTATTTGTGACACTTCTTTTTACATACCACCCACCTCTGGTAAAAAGCCTTTTTCGTCCACGTTTGGATGCTGTTTGTTTGAGACGTTCAGCTGGACCCCCTCATTTACACCGCTGCCCAGGGGTGGACTGGCCTATCTGGCGTTCTGGCACTGTCCCGGTGGGCCGCTTAGCCAAGTGGGCTGCTTGCCCAGCTTGGGCCGACACTACTCCACAGTTGGTGATCTGCAGAACGTTAGCTACATGGTAACCCGAAGCTAACAGTTTTTCCAGGCGTTTTTAGCAAGAAAAACGCGGTAGAGCGATGACGTAGGAGTTGTTTTACCGCGTTAGCATGTAGCTAATGTCCCGCTGATCCCCTCCTGTGGAGAATAATAATAATGCATTGAACTTATATAGCGCTTTTCTAGACACCCAAAGACGCTTTCCACACACACTCACATTCACACACTGCTAGTGATGGTAAGCTACTTGTAGCCACAGCCGCCCTGGGGAGGTCTGACAGAGGCGAGGCTGCCATTTGGCGCCGTCGGCCCCTCTGACCACCACTAACACAGGCAAGTTGGGTGAAGTGTCTTGCCCAAGGACACAACAGCAGGATACCCCTGGCGGGAGCTGGAATCAAACCCATGATCATGAGGCAATCTGCTTTACCACCTGAGCTACTGCTGCCCCAAATGAATGAGCTGACCTGGAAGGCCAGGGCTCCCGGTCGCAGCGGTCTGGCCCTGTTTGTAATTTAACAGTCCCAGTCCATATTAGATCTCACATTCGGCCTAGAGACGAGCCCGCGGGCGGCAACACCCCCCACCCCCACTGCGCTCCCAATGGGGAGGGCCGACTGAGGGCAGACGATCCGTAAAAATGCCAGGGCCGAATTTTGTTCCCAGTCCACCCCTACGGCGCTGCCTCCTGGATAACTCCAGATCTGAGAGTGTTGCTAGTATCTGCTCATCATTCTCCAACTTAGGACCTTTCCCACTGGCAAAATCTTTGTAACAAATATATACACACCCCTTGACCTGCTCCACACTGAAAATCCACTTTAAAACTGCCAGCGCTTTGCTTTGTCTCGCTTCAGATTGGCCCGTTTACCTTACCAGCTGTTTCATCTCGTCATTGACCTTACCCAGCATTGGAAAGAGGATAAAAAATGTCCCCTCTGACGTCCGATCTGGGTATCTAGAGTCCGATTAACACCTCCCCCAACAGCCGACTTTAGTGCCTGCCTTCCCATGTGACCATATTTAGGAGACAAAACTACAACTTTCAGATGAGTGGAGTGACTCATAACCATAGGCAACTATGCAAAATATACGCTTGCTTGTCTAAAGCTACATCCCACGATGCATTGTGACGTTTTGACACGATCTATTTTTAGTTACTCCAGAATACGCTGTTCATGTAAACATCAGGCTGTGATGCAGCATAAAGATGATCTCACTGAGTATCACAGCTTTTAATACAAAACAGCTTTTAAGTTGTGAAGAGACTCAATGAAGTATTTATATATGTAATAATTGTCATAAAGCGTTACAGCCAAAGAGTTTATGGTGACATAAACAGTTAGATCTACTTAACAGAGATGGTAAACAGACCATACCATGACTAATAGCCTTCCAACTGAGCAGAGTCTCTGCTCGTCGCTTCTTATTTCCACAAAAATATCCCCTCAAAACTACCTCAAAGATAAATTACTAGCAACTTTTTATTATTTGTAAATGTGGGGAAAATGTTTAGCATATTTTGAGTTAGTCATCCTTATTCATTTTTTATTGGTGTTTACTTTATTTGCTGATATTTTGGTGGAAGAAACTGTTAGTCTGGTGGTTTGTATTGTGGCAGCTGTGGTGTGACTGCCTCAAGGCAACAGCTGGAAAAATGGTGAGAAGAGTCTTTAATGAGTTTGTTTTTAAATCTTTTCTTCTTCTGAAAAGGTTTGATGTGGTAATGTCTTCTCGTGGGGACAGGAAAAGATCTGTTCTGCAGAAATGATGAATCTGTGCAGAGTTTTTGTGTGCAATCGTACGCAGTGTGGCATTTAAAAATGTTCTCCCTGTTAAGTTCCACTCTTGTTTACACTCCAAAGGGACACTTAGGGACAACTCCTTATTTTCACTCTCCATCAATCTTTATTATTCCAGTTTAGTGATTAATGTAGTTTAGTCATCAGGTTGATAACCTTCAAAGTACAGAGACAAGTGTTAAACATCACATAATTTTACATAAAATACAATAAACCAAGAACTTTCCAGACTAAATCTTCCTACACTAAAAGTGTAAATGAATAAATTAAAACATGACTGAATCACTAAAATTCAATCAATGAATCAAGGTTTTAATTCATTTTAAAAAAGGGAAGTTAAAGCATCAAGTGTAACAATGACAAATCAAATGCCTACGTGCTTGAAAACACTTGTATTTAATCTAACTCATAAGCAGCATGACTAATGGTCAACCTAAATAACTTCACACCATAAAAAAGTCATATTCACCAACCATTGGCGTCTTAAGCGTCAACTCATGAGTAGAGCTTCTTCTTCTTCACCGAGTGAGGCAGGCTAGACGCCCATGAGGCGTTTTGCTGCCACAGCCACCCAAACACACCGCCAGAGAGCGTCACAGCCTCTCATAAACCCCCTGTCACATGCAGAAACCACATCAGGGCCCACACCCTATGCCGGTCCTCCACACCCAACAAGGTCCGCAGAGAAAACACTGACAGACCCGTAGCCCTCAACCTCCGAAAATAGGCCTCCCTCTCACGACCATGCCGTCCACAGTGCAGAAGAACATGGCACACAGACTCAGGCTTCCCACAATCACACCTCGCGTCCATATGTTTCCCCACCAAAAACAGCCCGCTTCGAAGACCACAGTGCCCCAACCTCAACCAAGAGAGGACCACCGAGCCTCTCCTCCGAAGATCAAGGACCAACCCACAGCCACCCACCAAACGATGTAACCAATAAAAGCCCCTACCCAAAACCCCACCATCCCACGATGCCTGCCACAATCTCATGGCCTCCCTGCCTATCGCTGAACAATACTCAGGAGAGCCCATGGCAACCTCCAGGTCCACAACAGTACTCTTCAGCGCCGCCTTGGCCACAGAGTCCACCCTCTCATTGCCCACCACCCCCACATGGGCAGGAACCAAAGCAAAACAAACTTTACAGCCACAAGCCTGCATATCATGCAGCATCACCCTGGCAGAAATCACCAGGTCTAGCCTAGAGCCAGAGCCTGACACTGACAGAGCCTCCAACGCAGCAGCTGAGTCAGAGCAGATAACAGCACACTCCTTCACCCCATGAGTAGAGCTTGCTTGTTGTTCCTTGTTTGACTGAGAACAGAACCCCCACTATCTTTGTCCAGCTGTTTTTCATCACCAATCGGTGGCCATTTTGCTGGTGCTTTCTGGGGGATGTAGTTCTCAGTGGCGGTTGAGCACTTTCACCTCCAGTTGTTCAGTTTTAACTCGACACTCCCTGTTCTCCATCATCAGCTGCTTCCTCTTCACTTTGTTCTTCCTGAAGTTGACACACATTTCTTGAAAGTCTTCCTATTTTCCAAGAATGCTTTAATGATGCATGAATTGTTCTTGGCCTGTGGTGTTCAGCCTTGTATTATTCACTTTTCCTGTACTCACTGCCAAGATCGTGGTCCCCAAATTAATGATAAATGACCCACACTTTTATAGCGCCTCCCAGAGAAAGGACTCCAAAGCGCTCTACACTACAGTGTATCATTCATCCATTCACACACACATTCACACACTGATGGTGATGAGCTACGATGTAGCCACAGCTGCCCTGGGGCGCACTGACAGAGGTGAGGCTGCCGAGCACAGGCGCCACCGGTCCCTCCGACCACCACCAGCGGGCAAGGGGGTTAAGTGTCTTGCCCAAGGACACAACAGCAGAATTCTCTGTCCGGAGCCGGGATCGAACCTGCAACCTTCCGATTACTGGACAACCCGCTCTACCTGTTGAGCTACTGTTGCCCACATAAATTAAATTGTCCTCGATATATTGAAGATAATGGATGAATTGACTGGAGAGCAGTCATAAGTGTACGTAGAGTAAATGCTCAAAGAGCAGAGAGTAATATTAGGAGGAGTGTATTATTAGAGAACTTGCTGTCCCATATGCCCCTAAACACCCTCACACACACAAACTGCTTAAAAACGTTAGCTTAACAGACTGAATGTGGCACCACACGTCTAGTTGCATTTAAGTTTTGGTCCTAGATCGGTCTGAACATAAACTCATTTCAGTGGCTTCCACGTAGCAGTAAATTGGAAACACGCGTCATTTGCCATTTTACAAAATGCATAAGAATGTGTGTGTGTGGTACATTAAAAGGCTTGTCATTCATTTTAATGCGGAGGTCGCTGTAGTGTTGAAATACATTTGATTTCAGAACACGTGAGCAGGATTAGACGAGTGTGTGTGTGGCAGAACTGTGTGTTCATGTGTAATGTTTACCATTATTTAAGCATTTCATTGAGACGTTCGTGTGGTGTGTGTGTTTGTGGTGTGTGGTAGGTATAGAGTCCCTGCTGCGCAGTCTGAAGGAGGCTTTGCAGCTCACCAATCTGGAGGTACCAAAACAAGGTTTCCTACTCCTCACTGAAATACTGGAAAGGTGAGACTTTTATCTATTATTCAGTAAATGTCATGTCCTGTTGACCCTAAGCTGTTCTAGTGCTGAAACAACTCCACTGCAGTTGGAATCATTGTTCTGTCACTGAAAACAATGTCACCACACTTCTGCACCTCTAGCATTGAACAATCCATTACTTACAGCTACAGCGTTAAGTGCTGTAAAATATCCTGATCCACTCCTACTTGTTTAAATTTTGCCTTCGAGGATCATGACTAACTTGCAGTCCTCTTTTGTACGTTCTTTCTGTGTTTGTCTTCAAATTCCATTTGTGGTTCTTTTTAAACACAAATACAGTTTTTCTTTACCTCGCTGACATTTCGTTTGCAGCTGCAAACTTCCTCAGAGCTGACGCTGATGGTGGAGTCACTTCCTACTTCGTTTATTCGCGGGCAGCAGAGGACGTTGTCACCCTGTGATGCCCGCTCACCCCTCTCCAATGAGAGGGGTGAGCGGGCAGGTAAAGAAAAACCTTATTTGTGTTTAAAAAAGAACCAAAAATGGAATTTGAAGACAAACACAGAAAGAACGTACAAAAGATGTTTAAAGAACAATACAGACAACAAGGAACAAAGGACTTCCGCTGTTTGGAACGTTTACATCAACAACGCGCACGTCTAAGGAACCACCTTCGTTTCAATTTAAGATGCCGGGACGAAAACATCACACCAACAAGCCTACAGCTGATAACACCGATCCGGATCAAGACAGCACAGAACATAATGTATAGAACACAGAAAGCACTACTCAAAGAAAGGATAAGAAACGTCGCAACCAAACAGAAGCTAGTGGAAAACGAACTGGAAAGAAGACACCTGGACTTAAAAAGGAATTACAAACTTGATGAAACAACAGAGGAACAAATTAAAGGACACACGATGGGAAAAACAGGTAAAAAGAGTTCGCAAAAGTAAAAGAAAGACACATAAAGAAGTTAAACAAACTCATCAACAAGAAAAAGAGAAAAGAAATACAAGATAACACCACACAAAGCTCATGGGTACGTTCACAATACAAACTAACAGAAGCAGAAGAAAGCATATTAAAAAAAGTTTTAAACTTTGCAGTAACACCAAAGAAAATACCATATGATGAATTTATTGTAGCAACAGAACTATCATGTCAACAGATCACAGACGAGGGAAAGAAAGCAGAACTCAGAAATAATGTATTTGGGATATTAAAGAACAGCAAAAGTCAACATAGCAATATTACAAAAGAAGAACAATCAGCCATGATGGCATTATCCAAAAATGAACAGATAATTATTCTACCGGCAGACAAAGGAAGAACCACATTGATAATGGACAAAGAAAAATACAAACAACAGATGCTAGAGGACAAAAATACAT